ATCACTTTTTTTTAAAGATAGAGCATTACAACTTCTGAGTAGAGCTCTGAATAAACACGGTTTACGGAGAATATCCACTCATGATTAAGAAATAAATTGAAAGAGCAAAGAAGGACGTGGCTGTGCGATGCTAAATATCCAGGTATTCCACCACTATCCACAAAAAAAGTGTGGATAGGGGTCAGGTGGAAATATGGCGTACTGCTGGTGCGCACTGATTCTGATCCGAGCTTCCAGATTAGAAGGCGATGTTTAACGTCGTGAATGCCAACCAATACTTGCGTAATAGGTAATAATAATAAAAAATAAATGTCATAATTCAACAATTCTGACGGGACTATGCAAACCATAGTACACTGCGTACTCAACGAGATCAAGCAATTTAAAATGAATCGGACCAGTATACTATAACCGTACTAATGAAAAAAAAAACACCTAGGGCAACGGGCAAAAACGACGGACACTGAAAGGTTTCACCCTTTAGTATCACATTTTAAATGCCTCATCATTTAGCGACACATACACCCTTTAGTCTATGTGTTATTTTACCAGCACTCTCGAGGTGTTTGTAATGCTTAATATTCACCAACTCGTTTGCGACCTTATTTTCAGTTAATAATGTACTATGCATGTTGCACTGTCGTCTGAAAAAAAGAAAGTGGTTTTGCGAAATCTTTATAAACTCCGCAAAATATCATTGTTGAAAGATTTGGTTGTCCGAAAAAAATCCTCGAAACCCTTGAAACATGTAATTTTGGATAAAGTAACAATGGGCCATTGTGTATACTCCCTGGCTGATTGATGTTATGACAACTGTATTTCCGAATCTAGCCTCTTCGATGTCTGGTTCTTCGGTTCTACTTCAATCGATAGGCGGCTTGCGCCATTAAGCGATGCCTGTTTTAATGCTGTGCCCGTGATGTTTTCAGTTGCTTGATGTCTTTGGGCATTTTCCCCCAGATATCACTAGATTTTGAAGGTGACATGGTCCACTAACCAGGAAACAAACATCTACAAAATGCCACAAAATAAAAAAAAAAACACAAATAAATGTCAATGACATTATCATTTGGTGACACTGGGGTATGGGCTGTTGCAGATTTAGCATAACAGTACAATCCCCCCAATAACGAGACCCTCTGATCACTAAGTTTTGCGTTTTTTTTTTCTTTCTACATCGTTGCCTCTGCTAAAGTAGAAAGGGTAGAGGGCTTTGTGGGAGGAATTTCTTGTGCGATTCACGAACTGCTACAGACTCTAATAGGCTAGGGATTGTCCTGACATTTTAAGGCATCAAAGGTGTACACAACTCACCAGACGTTTACAAAACACGCGAACTGCGGTTTATACTGTGGTAGCGGTGTCGTGGTTGTAGTTAAGCAAAGGCTTTGTGACGTAGCTGAAGTAGCACTCAACAAACCATCCTGAAGTGCTAGGTCAAAGAGCCGCTGTTCCGCGTCCTCTAACAGATAACGCTGCCATGAGAAAAACATACATTTCGCGTGCTTCGTATAAGTTCGGAGAGCTTTGTGCATGTTTTCCACATCGCTTCCAAGTTGTACCAGGGCAACATGCTCATAGCTGTATCGCCTCGGTTTCGCTCGCAGATAACGTCAAATAAACTGTATACACCAACTCGAGTGTCACACGTCGCGCCGCTGATATAATGTAGCTGTCGGCAGGGCGAGCGCACATGCTTCATTCGCGCGAATCTGATTTCTGTGCACGCACACCGAAATGCTGCGGCAATCCAAGGCAGCAATCTGGGCTCCGCACACGCGCAGTACGGAACTCGCAACGATAACGCAGACTGCTTGCGTTGGGTCGTATACAAAATGCTGAAACTCACTTCTAAACGCAAGCACTAAACCTTTGCGTTGGTGTCGCGGCCATACGATCCACTGTTTAGCATAGTTCGGTACGACTTGCAAAAGGTTAATTCCAAACGTACATACTTGAAATAGAGCACACGAATGCACTTTGGCGAAAAGTTATATCCCTTTTTTCTTTACTCAGTAGCGGTGAAATTTTAGAAATAGAGTAAGAACGACTGCCGTGCATTTATATCGAATGTTTGTTGTCGGCACACTGGTTTGCGATTGCGCCCAAGTGGACATCTGTCATATATTTCGTTCAAACCATTACTTATCGCGATTGTCCTGCTTGTTGCCAGCCTCTATAATGACGTTGTCGGCGTTTTTAGCTTCAGCAGGGGCTTTTCAAAAAGTCCTAGACTTCTGGTGCTCCCATCAAAGCTTTGTTGTTACCAGAGACGCAGGTAACGAAATACCGATCGCTCGTTTCGCCAACGGTAGGGGCGCGCATGAATACTAGAGTAACTGTCTAGGCTCTGCTTGCGGAGCATATACAGTTACTCTAATGAATACTAGCGACGACATCGACTCTTGTACTCCCCGGTATCGCACCGGTTTTGTACAGGAGTTTGCTGGATCTCTATGAAAGGGACCCTCCAGCGATATTTGGGCTTTTGCCTTTTTTATATTATTACCTCATAATGGCTTTGGGCTACTCAGAAGACAAGTGCCACAAGCTATTAGCGCGTCATATTTTAATTAGGTAACAAAAAACCGCTGAGCGTCTTGTGGCGCCACAGTGTGTGGAAAACGCGCGGCTGATGGCGTTATTGGTATACCATTTCAGGATTGGCAATATTGGCTTAAGCCGTGCGATTTTTATTATGCAAATAAACCATCGTCATTCCTTAATTTTTTTTTTTTTTTTTTTGAGGTGAGAAAATTAGATTAGGGGGAAAAGTTGTTTTAAATGTGCAAAAACAAGCGAAAAAAAAAAAAATTACACGCCCGCTTTGCTGTGGCGGAATCAGTCAACCCAGCGAACTGGAGCGCGGCGCACTAGCGTATTAAAAGTGTACGGAAACGAAATTTTATGCTCATTTTATTGCTTAGGTATAAATATACCCCGTAGCATCAGCACCAAACGACACGCCGCTGCCCTGTCTTTCGTCTTTAAACGCAAGAAATGCATTTCTAAAATGAATAAAATGATTTTCCCTTCGCATCTGGTGATTGGGGTGCCGAAGCTTTGTTCGGGGATCGTGACCTGTTGCTCCTCCCGCAGTGGCGCCACCCTCGGCAGGACACTGCACTCCCTAGCCGTCAACGCAATCACGTTGCCTCGCGCGGCCCTCGATAATTGTTTTGGTACCGCCTAGTTGTTTCCGTGTGTATTCATCACGTTTGCGTGCAGGATGCCGCGCTATTGCGTGGCAGAGGGCTGCGGCAGCAGCGTGTTGAACTGCGAGACGCCGACACGCGGGTTTCCGAACGATGAGAAATTCCGAAGCGTGTGGATTCGTCTTGCGCGCCCGTTGTTTTCTGGGGCGCCGTACAAAATCGATCGCCTGTACGGTGACCATTTTCTCGATGAGGACTACGAAGGGCGACCAATTGTTTTCAGGAGCCTAGGTCTTCCTACAAAGAATCTTTGGTTGCTACCAGGGGTCGTGCCGACTATTGTTTATTCCAAGAAAACTAGAAGAGCTAAGCGAACAACGCAAAATCGAACCAAACTGGTAAGAGAGCACACTGTTAATAAAACTGGCGCATACCTCCAAGTTGGGCAATCATTATTAAATGCGAGGCATTTCTTGGCGTTCAGATTTTGCGGGCGCACGGTCGGTCTGTCGGACGGTTCGTACGGTTCTAGCCGGATGGCTAGAACCGTACGATGGACCTCTCAGTTTTGACTGTAACAAAAGTTTTGACTGTAACAACTGTAACTGTAACAAGAGAGGAAAGAAGCCCCAACCCACATTGACGCTGTGATAAAATTGCATACCACGAAGGACTTTAGGCGCAATTATTTGCCGCTTACCGATTGACTGGGCCCGAGTTGGAAATAAAACGCTTACGCGGATTTTACTTTGGATTCCCGCGTCGCATCGTAGTAACGTCTTGAATGTTAAGGCCCCGCTTCAACCACTCGGTGCTCCTTAAACTTCGAACACCAGCAAACACACGGCCACCATTAAAACGGCGCAAAGGCCATTCCTCAGATGAAGATATTGGTCAAAATGGCTAGACTGAATATCGGAAAAAGTCTGTTACGCACAGAAATAGCGCTTCGATCCTGCGCTTTTCTTTTGGGCGGGACTGGTCTAGGCGTTGGCAAAGAACACACAGAAACAACGATCACCGTGACGATGTCCTTTGGCGCGGCTTGATTAGTTTCTTTGGATCCTAGCTTCGGCTGCGTTCGGACTTCAAGGGAAGCGGATTATAGACCGTTTTTTTGTGTTGCGGTTCCCATATGACGTACTTCGATTAGGCGACACATTTATTTTTTCAGCAGAAATATAATAAACAAGTAAAGCCATGAAAAAAAAAAAAACAACTATCGGCACGTACAGCTTGCATTCTAGCGACTTCCAATAGGCAAATAAAGTGATCTGCTATTTTGCTCAAAATCAGCTGCTTCGAAGTCAACATGGCTTACGTCACGAAAAAAAAAGTGGTCTATATTTTTGCAAAAATCACCTTCTGCGCGCTTTCATCTGAGTCAGCTGGGCTGTGGTAGGCCTTCTGAGCATGCGCTGTAGCTCTCTTGTGCGGTACATGAGACGCTGCGCATGCGTCCACAGTTCCGTGACTCCGCACTTATCATCCGGGTGATAAGCCCTTGACAGGTGTATAGACCTTTCCAACACTCGCGCTCTGGGCGCTGACATCTTTGTCTACTGGCCTGTGGAACGCGTTCTGAGAGTGCGCAGTATCTTCCACGATGCGTTTTAAGATCACAGCCGGTGCGCACTCGGAGCCGCTGCCTTGTCTACAGTTGAAAACGTTAGTAATCCGCTGAAACTTTCCATTGTGTCGTAACAATACGTACATGAGCAAACGGTATTCTTCAAGTAGATTTTTTTTTTAGATCTGACTTGTGTGCATTTTATTTATTACTATTTAACTCCGCAAGCTATATAAGACGCGAGAAACCGGGCCAAAGAGCGTTGGTTACGACTTATGAGAACCTCCGATCCGCTGACTAAAGATCTCAACATGTTCGTAGCAGCACTCTTTCTGCCGGTTGTAGCCGGGAAGCTCTTTATGGAAAGCAGCCTTCATAGCTTTCCGAAAATAACTGAAAGAAGCGGATATGTAAAAACCTGCAATATGAGCAAACGTAAGACAATTTTTTTTAAATTTAACCACGTAGAACGAACAGTGTTTAATCGGCAGCTCTGCGGTTGGTTCTAGCGTCACGTCGGGCATTATGTCTCCGGTAGCACACATTATAGCGCCGATATCGGCGTCGGATTTGAAAGATTGGGCGAGTATCTAGCGGACTGAACGTTTTTCTTTCATGATGACTTTCGTTTTTGCAGTCGAGGATTGCGCTGTGATCATACTCCGTTCACCTTCAAGCTGAGACTACAACCAGAGTTACAATCGCAAGCAAGAACGCGCTCCTGGCTTTGAGACATGGGTTTCTAGCGCGAGAACTCGGGCAGAGCCTTTCAAATCTATGGTCTCCTGCTCTCATACTTCCGGCACTGGCTGCAGTCTCCACTAAAGTGTGAACAGAATATATACACCATTCACCCTTAAGCTGAGACTAGAAGCTTTGCCTTCAGCGCTATCTCGCTGGCTTCCACAGTGCTTTGGTTGCGCAAGTCTGCGTGTTCACATTTGTGTTAGTAAGGGGAGAAAGCTCGCGCTGAATACCGAGCTTCTAGCCCACGCTTGAGGGGCCCTGCAATCCTATTCGACCGTCTACATTTTTTGCGGTTTCTACGTCTCTTCTGGTTCGTGCAACCTAGCGGGCACGGAGAGATGAACTAAATATCAGTGCGTCATATTTTAACCGGACGACGTGAAAGCCTCCTCCACCTATATGCAGTGACGGACGCAGGTATGTCTTGAGGGGGGGGGGGGGGGGAGGGGGGGGTGCTGGTCAACGTATCATATGTTTAGGACCTGCCAACCCCTTTCCAGTTTCCACGCCCAAAATGTTTACAGATGCAGAATTCAAGAGGGGGGTCAGGACATCGGGACCCCCCCTCTGAATCCACCCCTCCCTATATCAGGGCACCCCGTGGTATTGAACGCGCGCGGCATGTGACGACATCGTGACGTTGTTGGTATACGCCTCGCAAGTGGGCTCATTTTCGTCTTCTGCGCATGAGAAAGGAAGTAGTGGTGACGTCATTACGCCGAGCCCTGATTGGCTGATCGCGACCCCCTATCTGAACGTCGTCTGCTCCTTTGCAACGTCGTCTGCTCGCAACGTCGTCTGCGTCTGTCTTACCTTTCCTGCGACTTTAGAAAGTGCAAGTCTTTACGAGCGAGCTCGACTTCGCCTTTCAGAGAGGGCAGACGAAATAACTCGAGCGGTACGTTGTTTTTGTCTAACAACTAGCAGACGCGCATCAAGGAGGGAAATCAAAGGACTCACTGGCGAGGTGTCCCGAGGCGCCGAGGTTTGTTTGCTAAGAACCGAGAGCGAGCGTGTTAGTGTCCGCAAGTTCCCTCCCAAATACTTTTTCCCTCCTTTAGTGTGCAGCGAGGCCCCGCATTCTTTAACGGCGTCGGCGGGTTGGCGCAGTTAACGTCGTTTGCTTTACGTCTGCTAGTCAAAGCGATGGCTGCTTTACCTTTCCTGCGTCTGTCGGAGATTCACCGCTTTTTCACCGGCGAGAGTCACCGTTGCTCGGGAAACAAAGAGATAACAAAAGGAAGAAATTGACCTCTTAATCTAAAATTGAGGTCAGCGATCAAGGTATAATACGAGAAGGGTGCACAAGGGTCGCGCGGGCATATTCCATTCAGAACACCAGCCGGTCGTGGGCAGACGGTCGCCGAGTCGGGGAGTGCCCGCTAGGCCTAACTGTCGAGGCCGAGCTCGCTTGTTCGCGTTCAGTGGAATCGTGACCGTTGGAGGTTTTCCTGGGGGGTTGTGGATTCAGCGTTCTTGTTCGTCGTGGTCTGTTTCAAGTACTTGTCACTTTTTTCTTGCTGCTTGAAGTCGGGACGCGTGAGAAGCGCACGTAGAAAAATAAACGTCCGTGGGTCGTCGCGACCGCGACGCTGTCGGCCATGCTGATTTGATCGTAAGATGTACGTAAGACAGCTTCGGAGCTGTCGTAGGATTTCGTCGTAACCTGCGCAAAACGTACGAAAATTTCGTTTCGTGAATAGGAATTTGTTCTTAAGTTTTGTCTTATGCACATTCTTGGCGTAAGATCGTTTCGTGAATCTGGCCTCTGCACTTCCGAAAGTCGCAGGAAAGGTAAGACAGACGCAGACGACGTTGCGAGCAGACGACGTTGCGAAGGAGCAGACGACGCTCAGATAGGGGGGCGCGATCAGCCAATCAGGGCTCGGCGTTCCGACGTCACCGCTACCCCCTGCGCAAGAAGCAGACGAACTTGCCCTCCGGATTGGTGGGCTCATGCCTTACGACTGGTCAGGACCGCTAAAAACTTTTTTTTAGTAGAAATATAAAATGTAAGTGGCCGGAACCATTTCAAGTATTTATAAAACTAGTTTTTGTTCAGTATTTTAGATAAGAAAAGAAACAAATGTAGTTTAGAAAGTACGGAAACAAGAAATGACATGCCGACATACTCGCCACCAAGCGGTGAAAGAGGCGGCGCAAGCGCCCGTCGTATGATTCCGAAGCACGCTCGCTTCGGGATATCGGAGGCCATGCTTGGCGGATCCTAGCAGACGACGCAGAACACCGGCGGCACATTTTGTAAAAACCGAAAGTACGAATTCGTCTCCTCGCAAAAGCACGATGAGTGTCTGTTGGGACGCAGCGTATGGGAAGAAGTCACATGAGAGTCTCAAACTCAACTCGTTTTTATTTCCTAGTTCTGCCCCGTTCCGGGGCACCTTTCTATCCTCGGCCTCACATCCTTCCTCTGTCTTCCACCCCATTCCTACATTCCTCAGTCACCGTGATCCGCCGGTAAACACTTTACCGCGGGCAAGGGAAATTGTCCGGCGCGGAAAAAGGGGAGACAGAGGACCAAGGACGTCTAGAGGAGGTTATCTTTTTGCTTGTTTTTGTCATTTTGAGGTGCGTATAACTTTTCAAAAACAGCGAATTTCTAGAAAATAAAAGGTTTACTGAGTTACTACGTTCCATGGGCTAAACTTTATGCAAATTAAAAAGCCCATTTCAGGGTGAACTCGTACAGACCGGTCGAATACTCGCCTTCTGTGCGCTGCCATCTTTATTTATTGCGCTGTGGAACGCCATCTGAGCATGTACTGTAGCTCTCTTGTGCGGTACATCACACGCTGCACATACGTCCACAGCCCCGTGACTCCGCGTGTAAGCCCCGGATGATAACCGCTGGAAAGGTCTATAAACCTTTCCAATACTCGCCGTCTGGGGGCTGACAATTTTGTCTACTGGGCTGTGGAACCCCTTCCGAGTACGCGCTGTAGCTCTCTTGTGCGGTACAGCAGACGCTGCACATACATCCACAGCCCCGTGACTCCGCATGTAAGGCCGGGATGATAAGCGCTGGAAAGGTCTATAGACCTTTCCAATACTCGCCGTCTGGGCGCTGACATTTTGGTCTACAGGGATGTGGAACCCCTTCCGAGCACGACCTGTAGCTCTCCTGTGCGGTACATGAGACGCTGCCCATGCGTCCACAGCCCCGTGACTCCGCATGTAAGACCCGGATGATAACCGCTAGAAAGGTCTATAGACCATTCCAATACTCGCCGTCTCGGCGCTGACATTTTTGTCTGCTGGGCTGTGGAACCCCTTCCGAGTACGCGCTGTAGCTCTCTTGTGCGGTACAGCAGACGCTGCACATACGTCCACAGCCCCGTGTCTCCGCATGTAAGGCCCGGATGATAGGCGCTGGAAAGGTCTATAGACCTTTCCAATACTCGCCGTCTGGGCGCTGACATTTTTGTCTGCAGGGATGTGGAACCTCTTCCGAGCACGACCTGTAGCTCTCCTGTGCGGTACATGAGACGCTACCCATTCGTCCACAGCCCCGTGACTCCGCATGTAAGGCCCGGATGATAACCACTGGAAAGGTCTATAGACCTTTCCAATACTCGGCGTCTGGGCGCTGACATTTTTGTCTGCTGGGCTGTGGAACCCCTAACGAGCACAAACTGTAGCTCTCCTGTGCGGTACATCAGACGCTGCGCATGCGTCCACAGCCCCGTGACTCCGCATGTAAGGCCCGGATGATAACCGCTGGAAAGGTCTATAGACCTTTCCAATGTTCGCCGTCTGGGCACTGACATTTTTGTCTGCTGGGCTGTGGAACCCTTTCCGAGTACGCGCTGTAGCTCTCTTGTGCGCTACATCAGACGCTGCACATACGTCCACAGCCCCGTGACTCCGCAATTAAGGCCCGGAAGATAAGCGCTGGAAAGGTCTATAGACCTTTCCAACACTCGCCGACTGGGCGCTGATATTTTTGTCTACTGGGCTGTGGAACCCCTTCCGAGCACGAGCTGTAGCTCTCTTGTGCGGTACATCAGACGCTGCACATACGTCCACAGCCCCGTGATTCCGTACGTAAGGCCCGGATGATAAGAGCTGGAAAGGTCTATGGACCTTTCCGATACTCACCGTCTGGGCGCTGACATTTTTGTCTGCTGGGCAGTGGAACCCCTTCCGATCACGAACTGCAGCTCTCTTGTGCGGTACATCAGACGCTGCGCATGCGTCCACAGCCATGTGACTCCCCATTTAAGGCCCGGATGATAAGCGCTGGAAAGGTCTATAAACCTCTCTCCAATATTCACCGTCTGGGAGCTGACGTTTTTGTCTGCTGGGCAGCAGAACCCCTTCCAAGTACGCGCTGTAGCTCTCTTGTGCGGTACATCAGACGCTGCGCATGCGTCCACAGCCCCGTGACTCCGCATTATAAACCTTTCCAATACTCGCCGTCTGAGCGTTGACATTTTTGTCTGCCGGGCAGTGGAGCCCCTTCCGAGTACGCGCTGTAGCTCTCTTGTGCGGTACATCAGACGCTGCGCATGCGTCCACAGCCCCGTGACTCCGCATTTAAGGCCCGGATGATAAGCGCTGGAAAGGTCTATAGACCTTTCCAATACTCGCCGTCTGGGCGCTAAGATTTTTGTCTCCTGGGCTGTGGAACGTCTTCCGAGCACACGCTGTAGCTCTCTTGTGCGGTACATCAGACGCTGCGCATGCGTCCACAGCCCCGTGACTCCCCATTTAAGGCCCGGATGATAAGCGCTGGAAAGGTCTATAGACCTCTCCAATATTCACCGTCTGGGAGCTGACGTTTTTGTCTGCTGGGCAGCGGAACATCTTCCAAGTACGCGCTGTAGCTCTCTTGTGCGGTACATCAGACGCTGCGCATGCGTCCACAGCCCCGTGATTCCGCATTTAAGGTCCGGATGATAAGCGCTGGAAAGGTCTATAGACTTTTCCAATACTCGCCGTCTGGGCGCTAAGATTTTTGTCTCCTGGGCTGTGGAACGTCTTCCGAGCACACGCTGTAGCTCTCTTGTGCGGTATATCAGACGCTGCGCATGCGTCCACAGCCACGTGACTCCCCATTTAAGGACCGGATGATAAGCGCTGGAAAGGTCTATAGACCTCTCCAATATTCACCGTCTGGGAGCTGACGTTTTTGTCTGCTGGGCAGCTGAACATCTTCCAAGTACGCGCTGTAGCTCTCTTGTGCGGTACATCAGACGCTCCGCATGCGTCCACAGCCCCGTGACTCCGCATTATAAACCTTTCCAATACTCGTCGTCTGGGCGTTGACATTTTTGTCTGCAGGGCAGTGGAACCCCTTCCGAGTACGCGCTGTAGCTCTCTTGTGCGGTACATCAGACGCTGCGCATGCGTCCACAGCCCCGTGACTCCGCATTTAAGGCCCGGATGATAAGCGCTGGAAAGGTCTATAGACCATTCCAATACTCGCCGTCTGGGCGCTAAGACTTTTGTCTCCTGGGCTGTGGAACGTCTTCCGAGCACACGCTGTAGCTCTCTTGTGCGGTACATCAGACGCTGCGCATGCGTCCACAGCCCCGTGACTCCGCATTTAAGGCCGGGATGATAAGCGCTGGAAAGGTCTATAGACCATTCAGATACTCGCCTTCTGGGTGCGGACATTTTTGTCTACTGGGCTGTGGAACCCTTTCCGAGCACGCACTGTAGCTCTCCTGTGTGGTACATCAGACGCTGCGCATGCGTCCACAGCCCCTTGACTACGCATTTAAGGCCCGGATGATAAGCGCTGGAAAGGTCCATAGACCTTTCCAATACTTGCCATCTGGGCGCTGACATTTTTGTGTCCTCGGCTGTGGAACCCCTTCCGAGCACGCGCTGTAGCTCTCTCGTGTGGTAAATCAGACGCTGTGCATGCGTCCACAGCCCCGTGAGCCCGCATTTAAGGCCCAGATGATAAGCGCTGGAATGGTCTATAGACCTTTTCAATACTCGCTGCCTGGGCGCTGACATTTTTGTCTGCTGGGCTGTGGAACCCCTTCCGAGCACGCGTTGTAGCTCTCTTGTGTGGTACATCAGACGCTGCGCATGCTTTATCAGCCACGTGACCCCGCATTTAAGGCCTGGATGATAAGCGCTGGAAAGGTCTATAGACCTTTCCAATACTCGCTGTCTCGGCGCTGATATTTTTGTCTGCTGGGCTGTGGAACCCCTTCCGAGCACGCGCTGTAGCTCTCTTGTGCGGTACAGCAGACGCTGCACATACGTCCACAGCCCTGCGACTCCGCATGTAAGGACCGGATGATAAGCGCTGGAAAGGTCTATAGTCCTTTCCAATACTTGCAGTTTGGGCGCTGACATTTTTGTCTGCTGGGATGTGGAACCCCTTCCGAGGACGACCTGTAGCTCTCCTGTGCGGTACATGAGACGCTGCACATGCGTCCACAGCCCCGTGACTCCGCATGTAAGGCCCGGATGATAACCGCTAGAAAGGTCCATAGACCTTTCCAATGCTCGCCGTCTGGGCGCTGACATTTTTGTCTGCTGGGCTGTGGAACCCGTTCCGAGCACGAACTGCAGCTCTCTTGTGCGGTACATCAGACGCTGCACATACGTCCACAGCCCCGTGATTCCGTATGTCAGGCCCGGATGATAACCGCTAGAAAGGTCTATAGACCATTCCAATACTCGCCGTCTGGGCGTTGACATTTTTGTCTGCTGGGCTGTGGAACCCCTTCCAAGTACGCGCTGTAGCTGTCATGTGCGGTACATCAGACGGTGCACATACGTCCACAGCCTCGTGACTCCGCATGTAAGGCCCGGATAATAACCGCTGGAAAGGTCTATAGAGCTTTCCAATACTCGGCGTCTGGGCGCTGACATTTTTGTCTGCTGGGCTGTGGAACCCCTGACGAGCACGAACTGTAGCTCTCCTGTGCAGTACATCAGACGCTGCGCATGCGTCCACAGCCCCGTGACTCCGCATGTAAGGCCCGGATGATAACCGCTGGAAAGGTCTATAGACCTTTCCAATGCTCGCCGTCTGGACGCTGACATTTTTGTCTGCTGGGCTGTTTAACCCTTTCCGAGTACGCGCGGTAGCTCTCTTGTGCGGTACATCAGACGCTGCCCATAAGTCCACAGCCCCGTGACTCCGCATGTAAGGTCCGGATGATAACCGCTGGAAAGGTCTATAGAGCTTTCCGATACTCGCCGTCTGGGCGCTGACATTTTTGTCTGCTGGGCAGTGGAACCCCTTCCGAGCACGAACTGTAGCTCTCTTGTGCGGTACATCAGACGCTGTGCATGCGTCCACAGCCCCGTGACTCCGCATTTAAGGCCCAGATGATAAGCGCTGGAAAGGTCTATAGACCTTTCCAATACTCGCTGCCTGGGCGCTGACATTTTTGTCTGCTGGGCTGTTGAAACCCTTCCGAGCACGCGTTGTAGCTCTTTTGTGCGGTACATCAGACGCTGCGCATGCTTTATCAGCCACGTGACTCCGCATTTAAGGCCCGGATGATAAGCGCTGGAAAGGTCTATAGACCTTTCGAATACTCGCCTCTTACCGGCGAGTATTCCACTGGCACCTCTTACCATTTGTGGCGTAAGCGATCACTGTGGCGCATCGCTGGCTGCTCCACCTGCCGGTTCTGGCACAGTCGATTTTTTTTTTTGCAACATTGATAAGCGACGTTTGCTTCACGCTTCTCTTTTTGCAGCTGGCAACCGAACAGTGAGCTGTGCCCAGTTAAAAATGGAAGGAAATAACGAGACCGGTGATTATTTTATATCTCCTTACACAAATTTCTCTGTGAGGTGTGACATGGACACCAATGGTGGCGGATGGACAGTAAGTTTCACCACTTATTTGAGGTATCCCGATTCACAGCGAAGACGAAGTGCTATTGCGTTCTTTCTTTTGAGAAAAAAAGGTTATTAATGGGCCGGTACAAAAATTTCGACATCACAAGAAGCTGTAGCGCACTAGGTTTATTTCAGTTATCTTAGTAAAAGAAAGTAAGTCAAAGCCTCCTATCTCAAGCTAGAATAGTACACCACTTCTACCGTGCAGTCGCAAACTAAACATTTTGAGTACTTCGGAACCCGCACCCGCGATGGTGATTACGAAAGCGACCTCGCTTTATAGGATTTCTGCAGTTACAGGGAATGAGCTGTTTGTTCTAATATTTGCTCAATATACTCAACCTTGTCGTCCGTTAATTTGCCTTCTGAACTATGCCATGACCCATATTAGATATATTAGGCCATTCTGTAGGCCGGATATGTTAAGTCTCTCACAGTCTGGGTACGTGCATTATGTTTGCTAAATACTTTTCTATAGTAAATCTCCGAGTACATTTGTCAACTATTACAGCCCCACGCTTTGATACTTCAGTGTTATGTCGGTTCTTAAAATGACATATGATAATGTACTGTTAAAAAGTACTATAATTTATTGGCGTCTCTGTTGCAGCATATTTTTATTTCCCTTTAATAACGAGTACATTTCTTTGGGTGTGGAAGAGGGTGGTTGTACCAGTTCACAAATCTGGGAGCACTATGTCCGTCAACAATTACGAACCAATTGCGTTTCTCTCTGTTCTTTATAAAAAGGTTCTTTTTTTTTTAAAGGTGTTTTTGTTAACCTCAGTTTCCGTGTTAAGCCTACAATAAATTTAAATCATCACAGAATTTTCGCGGACGATCCGCTCAAACTAATCTTGTAACTTTCTTCTTTTTTTTTAGGTTCGCATTGCTTAAAATTGTTTAACGTGGGCACCTTGGTGTCGTTTATCTTGATTGCATTTGTGAATATTTTTCTAGCTACCTGATTGATCGCTCGAATAGTGTTCCCTGGTAATGATGCAGGTCATATCACTATGTGTTAAATGCCGGAGTTTCACAAGGGTCGTATTCGGGCCTTTGCTTTCCAATATGTTTGTAGACGACTTTGTCTCTACTAAGATGCTTCAGTTGCCTGATGACGTAAACGTTTATCGTACTATCCGCACGTCTGTTTACTGAAATATTGCAAAAAGGCGTTAATACACTTCCTCTTCAGTGTCGCATAAACTGGCGACCTTTTAATCCTGCAAAAACTGGGCTTGTTTTTTTTTCACACAAAAGATTAATACCATTGTTCATTCTTACAGATTATATGACTCTTGTAGCTTAAAGAAATGAAGTGTTTATTAACAATGCGTTGTATAAAATAAGGGTGAGGTGGCATAGGTCCCTCCGCCATGCTGTCTAAGGCCCGTCTCGAGTGTTCTGCTCCCCCGCCCCCCCCCCCCCCCCCCCCCCCCCATCCCTTTGTCGTCTTTCTCACAGATTACTGCATCTCTGTCTCGTAATGGAGTTGGTACCAGTCGACATCTCTCTTCGTTCGCCTACTTGTCGACGAAGTTTGTGTCCCTGAAGCGAGCCGGTTTTCTTTTCGTTCTTCGGCTTCTGCGGAGCGCTATGCTGTTTCCCCTGCACTGGCCACCGTCGTCGTCATGGACGATATATGATGTCTGCTGTGGTGCTCTTGCTACAACGATAACAGGACTACACTTTCCGCTGTGTTGATACCTGAAAAATATATCTTCTCCAGTGAGAAGTTCAGGCAGTGGTTTGACACTTTTGTCGTATTGTTGTCGTTGTTTCATTTGTTTGTCTCTCAACCACTGTTGGATCTCTGTGTGATTTGTTTCCGTGCTTTGAAGCAGCGAAGTATGCGGAGGAATTTATGTCCTTGTGTGACTATTCATAAGCTTTTGACTGGAAATCCCAGGAATCCATCTCGGGGTGTGTTGCGCCACTCCAGTAGAGCGTGGTAATAGTATGTAGTTATATAGCTCCATTTGTTCATGAGCTAGCTTTTTGGTTTCTTGTACCGCTGTCTCAGCCATTCCATTGGATTTGGGACAGTAGGGGCTGGATGTCACGTGGGAGATTCTTCGGCGCTGCAGAAAGTCCTTAAAGTCTGCGCTGTCGAAGGGTGGGCCGTTGTCTGAAACGATTTTGACTGGCAGTCCATGCACAGCAAACGTTGTTAGGCAGCACTTGTCACGTGATTGACAAGTGTCCTCTCAAGCTGACGAGTTTCATAGTAGAACGAGTAATAGTCCACTATCACAATGTAGTGGTGACCGTTGTATTGGAAGAGGTCTATTCCAACAACTTGCCATAGTGCGGTTGGCACAGGGAGGTTAATGAGAGGCTCTTTCTGTTGTCATGGCATGTCTTTGCACACTATGGAACTGTCTACTTTATACTCGATGTCCTTCTCCATAATAGGCGAGTAGAGAAGTTTATTGACACAATGAAGTGTCTTCTCTACACCGCTGTGTGCACTGTGCAACTCTGCTAGTATTTTACTGTTAAGTTGTTCCGGAATGATGAGTCTATTTGACCTGGACAGCAAGTCATACTCTTGATGTATCTCATCTCTGTATGACAAATACTGCTTAAGAGTATTTGCGACGTCTTGTGTTGACTGTCCACTCACCTCTTGCACACTGTTGCATGGTGGTCATATATTTGTCTTTAATTGTCGCTTTCCGACATTCTTGAAGTGTTTCGTCTTTGCTTGAGAGACACTCCGAGACGTTCATCTCGAAAGCTTCTGACACTTCTTCCATCGATGAATTTCTACAAAGAGTGTCGGCAATGTATAACTATCCTCCTGAAGTGCACTTTACTTCAAGTTCATATTTTTGAATGGTCAATCTCGTCCTCTTTAGCCTGAGGGCATTGGTTGAGAGGCTTTCGGAAGATAGCCTCCAACGGATTGAGACCTGGCTCTATGACAACCCTATGTCCGAAGATGTATTGGTGGAGTCAACTGCATCCGTGTACGATCGATAACAGTTCCTTCTCGATTTGTGCATAGTTCTTCTGAGCTTCATTCAAGCACCTTGAAGAATGGGTCACTGGCTGTCCCTCCTTGAGTAATACTGCGCCTGTTCTTCTGGAGCTTGTTTCCACTGACAGCGTTACTTGCCTTTTTTTGTCGTAGACCCGTAGCGTGGGTGCAACCGTCAAAGCCGCCCGAAGGGCTGTGAAACCTTTCTTTTGTTCTTTTGTTCATGATCAGGCTGTCTCCTTCTCTAGGAGTTGCCACAGCGACACACTCACGTCCGACATGATAGGGATGAACCTTCCCAGGTTGTTTACCACTCCTAGGGAGCTCTTCAGTTCGCCCACATTGTTCGGTCTTAGTAGAGCAAGGATGCCTTTCACTTCATTCAGATAAATTAAGAGTCCCTATGCTGAGAAATTGTGACCCAGGTACCTGATTTGTATCATGCTAAACTTGCACTTCTTCTTATTCAGTCGTAGGATGATCTCTCGGCACCTTTCTAGTACCGCCTGAAGCCTACGGTCATGTTTCTCAGTTGTCTTTTCTCAGATGAGGATGTTGTTTATCATGATATCCACTCCGTCTAAGCCTTCAAATACCAAATGCAGTGTCTTCTGAAACACCTCGAGAGCAGACGAAATGCCAAAAGGCGTTCGCAGGGATCTGTACCTCCCAAATGGTGTCGCAAACGTACACAAGTGCGAGCTGGGAGTCTCGGACTTGAGTTGCCAACATCCTGTAGCTGCGTCTAGCGTCGAGAAGTACTCGGCTTCTTCCAATCATGTGGCAATGTCCTCTAAACCAGGCATACAGTAGGTCTCCCGAATGAGCACCTTGTTGCGCTCTTGAGAATCAAGGCAGAGTCGGAGTTTGTCTTTCTTTTGTAGAACCAAGACAGGGTGAACCCACACCGTTGGTTCGTTACTGGCTCAACCACTTTTTGTTGCACAAGATCTTCCAAGTGTCTCTTGAGCTTGTTCCTGACGGCGACCGGGACTACACGTGGTTGCTGGATCACGCCTTGTGCATCTGGCTTGAGTTGCATGTAGTATTTGACGGCTTTTATTAATGCAAAACATTAACTGTCCCGTGGAGCGAGCTGACGTCATCAGTTTGAAGCGCGAAAACGGCACCTTAAATCCTTTCTTCAAGTGAAGCCATCACACAGCTATGAAACCACGCGAAAAACCTAGACAGCGGCACCTAGTTTCACCGATCACAAACGAATGAAGTAAAGCTGATGGATGTCGCCTTCGATCCCATTCGCTGGCACGCGTCGACGACGCTTACATTGGCCGCTGCATGCGTCAGTTTCCACGATGGCCGCCCCATGGCGCTGCGTATCTGCGCCGCGAGCGTGCCTGTAACACGAGGGCGAGGAGAGCTGGAAGAGCACGCGCAGGGCCGACGCAAATATGCCGCAAATGAAACACGGGAGCAGAAGAACGGCACGCATGCTTTCACATTCACAACTCATAAGAAGTGCTTAGGTGTACCTCGAGCTTTTTTATCCCTGTCCATGAAACATATCTTCACGTTGTTTGTGGGAACCCATGGTGTTCCTCCCCACCACATCGTGCGCTGCTGACGCCATGTGGAGATAGCATCGAAGGGGCGTCGCCGAGGTGGACAATCTCGTGCCCACAGCGGCGCTGCCTGAAGATGACGAGGCTAGAAAAGGGACGAAGAGACGACTGTTACGGCTCTCGGATGTGCGGGACGAACGAGGACGGCTGCCTGGCTTCTTGAGCGCGGGGCTTTGATTGCCGCCGCTAGCCGGCGACCTGCCCGGAGCTGCGGCCCCCCCGTGGAAGACGACTCCCTGGCTTCTAGACTGCGGGGCCTGGATTGCCGCTGCAAGCCGGGGACCTTCCCGGAGCCCCTTGATGCTGCTGTGCCGCGTCGAAACCAACGCGGGCACTTGCCCGGAACCACAGCTTCCCATGGACGACGTTTGCGCGCCTCTAGGTTATCGGGAAGCCGACCCATGACGACGTTTGCGC